TTTCCACTTTCACCTTTGTACCCAAAAGATCCCATACTCCTCTCCCTTCATCTGTCCTTTTCAGAACAAGTCGCTCATCATAGGTCCCTTCAAACACAGACGCATCACTTTTTTCTTCCTTTCCTCCCCCTTCCTCATCGGGCTCCACACAAACAGGGTAACATCGTCGATAAGGCGTATTCCCTTCACCAAATTCCTATCCGCCCCCAGGAACATACACTCACTCATAGCACAAAGGATGCATGCCAGTGGGGGGCTACTGCTTTTTCCCATTGGTATGCCTACTCTTTGTTGGATCAAATGTCCTGATGCTACGACAAAGGTGTGATTGAGCTCGAATCTGACCATCTTCCTCATATCCTCAAAACTTACTTCCATCCACCCATCCACTTCTCTCTTCTTTGCGAGAGACGAGTTCTTCCCCCTCCTTCTTAATGACACCATACTCTTCCCTTTCCCTTTGTACCACTCCAGGATCCAGTCGACTTCTCTCAAAATCGACTCGTGGGGCAGTTGACTAAACATCTCTTTTATGTCAAAATGCCCCACTCAATTTCCCTCTTCCTTTCCCCTCCACCCACTTATTGACCTCCTCAACTCTTCCTTTCAGCAGGTTCGTCGACTTCAGGTTAAAGTGCATCTCCTTCGGCAAGAGGAACAACAAGTGGTTAAAAGCTCGTGTTATTCTACCACTTGCTGTTTTCGTTGCTTCCGGATATGATGGACTAATTGGCCGAAAACGACTGATATCCTTGAATTTCGGGATAATATATGTTCGTCCACACCTGCCTTTTCCATCCCATTTTCCTATCACCTCGAGTCTCGATCCCTTATAGGCCTTTTTACTCTTTTCCAAAATTTCCACCTCCGTCTCCCACATTGGTTCAAAACTCTCATTTTCCCAAAACATCGTTCTCATACCTTCTGCGTATACTTTTGGGCACAGAATCACTGTCTCAGAAGCCTTTCTGCCAACTGTTGTACAAACCAGTCCTTTCGTCAGTTTCATGACTTCATCTATCTCGTCCATGTAATCCTTCACCATCTTTCCACTCTCTTCTCGTACGCACCCCCCTGCTTCCCTCGAGCTTACCGTTGATTTCAAACCCAATTTTACCAAACTATCGTTGATCTCCTTCATTACCCTCAACTCCTTCCTCTGCCCCTTTTCATATACAATATTTCGTGCATTTTTCACGAAAGTGCCTCCAATTTCCAAATCACTGAGCTTGCATTGAACATGACCCCCCGTTTTCGGGAGGCAACTGTCTGCACAGGTACAGATACTCACTGTCTCCTGAGCTTCAGAGCGGTGATTATGGAGAAATTGACCAACCGACCGATTTTTACGCCACGTGGTCAGTAATTTCCGACATGCAAATGCAGCAACAGACTTTGGAAGCGAAGCCTCAATCTTACCACAAACCAGATCACGGATTGCTCGTAAAGACACCTCCCTATCAAAGCTCACACTCACACAGAACTGCTTTCTCAAATTAAAACCAAACTTATTCCACACTACTCACGTAAGTACATCTTTGAGGGTTGATCGAGTCTGTGCTCTCGAGAAGCACTTTATTGCAGAAAAGAGTTCCATCAAATAATCGAGATCATGTTTATACAGCGTTCGTTTACTCCATGGATTTCGAATCACCTGGTGCAGCTGCCTCTTCAAGTCCTTCTTTCCTTTTGACAGATCTTCGACTCAAGTTTTATCAACTCAAAACTCCCTCCATCTTCGAACTTCGTTTTAAAATTCTTCACTCTCCCTACTTCATTCCCACGTCTCACGATACTCGACCCAACCTCTCGTCTTACCACACTCCATTCCTGTCCCCAAATGCTTCCCCCAATTGTACTGAACTTCTTTCCTCCCGTCTAAACCCGCTACATACATCTACTAACTTCACACTCTGCCCCCTTGGATCCTCAAACACGATTGGTTGCTCCAGACGAACCTTACAACTCCTACTCACTCTTCTCTCCTTCCTCCCATTTCGGGTTTTTTTTCGTCCCGGTTTCTTCACCCCTTTTGCATTCAACGCTGGAGACCATTTCTTGATAAAGGTTCTCTCCACTCTTTCCAAGTCATCAGGCGGAACGAACGCAATAGGTAAAGCTACGTAGTTTGAGTGTCCCCAATGTCTAAGCCAAGAGTACAAGCGTGAATTCCTATTTCCTGTTTTACACCCAGTTCTATACATATGCTCCTCCCATCTCATCCAGAGCTTCCTTCCTGTTTGCCCAATATAAAACTTCCTTGTCCCTGGGTCAATCAGCGTATAGACACAGCATTCGACATTTTCCCATATCTCATTATTACCATCAATCAAGTCCAACCAATTTCTCAGGAATTTATTCCTCCACTTTATCTAACCCCGTAGAACTAACAAAACTAACAAATACCTAAGGATACGCTCCGTTAACTCACGTAACCTCTGAACTCCTACTGCGGAGTCCGACATAAATAGCTTACGTAAGTCCAGGTACTTACCCAGATCTTCCCATAATTCACTTGTCTGTTGGGTTACTACTCCCCGCGATGTCTTCACCAACTGGAGGATCCCTCGATGGTACCTCCCTTACATCTCGCACTTCGCGGATGACAATACCACCTCTCGGTCTGGGTGGTGGCGTAGCCTGCGGAGCACTTGCGCTAGGGTGCATGACGCGCAACTCAATCAGTTCGTCCACCGCCTCCGGTCTCCCCCTGTAGACCACGCCTGCTTCATTGCACATTGCCTCGATCGTGGCTTTCACTTTTTTGTTGAGGAATCTTCTCGTTGCCTTCTTGAAGGCTGCCGTTGTGTTGAATTCATCTGTTGTCGGTGCACCTTCTCATAAGGACGATTCCTTCAGTGGAATGCTTACATCGGCTGCTCGGGTACGTCGTACAGGTACCCTCAGTCTCGGAGATTCTTCCTCCCCTCCGGCGGCTCCTATCGTTACCACCGTCGGTCTCCCCACCTTCGTCGGAGTCTCTCCTTGCGGACTAACCTGGCACGCTGGCACTGGTTGTCTCTTACGTTTTTCCAACTTCTCCTTCGGTTCCTGTTCTTCTTCCGACTCTGATTCCTCCTCCTTGCCTTTCCCTTTCACCGCTCTATTTGTGACCGCCATCCTTCGTAGTCTCGTCTCCAACATTCGTTCGAATTCCTGTCTCAACGATTCCTTTTGCTCAGCCAACAACATCTGTATCTTCCATTCCCTATTTGCTTCCTTCTGCTCCTTGGCTTTCTTTTTCAGTATATTGATTCGACTCCGCTCCTCCCTTGCGGCTCTTTCGTCATCCTCCCGCTTCTTCCTCTCCTCCGCTGCTTTTTTCTCCGTTTCCTTCTTCTCCTCAAGCTCCATCTGCTTCGTTGTATATTTACACATCTGCCGGATCCCTTCCTCAAGCTCCTTGTTGAGGCCGATTGCCATAGCTGGCTCATCAGAGCTTCCGGAAGTGCTCGCCCCATCGTTAAGTCCTCGCCCTCCTCCCTGATTATGGTTGGAGTTGAAGTTGCCTTTATTCCCTTGTCGCAGCGCGTTACACTCCCGGCTGATATGGCCATATTGACCACAATTATAGCACTGTGTTGATCGTTTCCAGTCCCGGCCATTGTTTCCTTGGTTAGCCCCATTTCCATTCTCTCCACCTCCATTCCACGCTCCTCCGTTGTTACCGCTCCAGCCACTGCTTCCGTTCCCGTACCCATTCCCTCCATTAGCGTTCACACCGTTGCCATTCCATCCGCTTCCACCGTTCCCGTTCCAGCCACCGTCGTTACCTCGACCATTCCATCCGTTACCCCCATTCCATCCGCCGTTATTCCCATTCCAGCCACCGTTATTTCCTCCTCCTCCGTTACCATTCGGAGCACCTCCGTTACCACCTTGGTTCCAATTGCCACCATTCCCGCCGTTCCCGCCTCTCCCGCTGCCGTTAGAGGTCATTCCTTGTAAACTAAAGCGTCAGTATTGGAAGTCGTTAATCTCGAAACTCGTCCTACTCGAACAAATCGTCCTTCTCCTACGTCACAACTACAGAGCCACCGAAGTCTTGGTGTGAACCTCCAAGTTGGTTGCCACTGCTTGTTCGATGAAGAAGAGCAAGTCAAACAAAGTCTGACTCAAACGTGATGAACACATAACCACACGTGCGCTGTCATGCACGAATAGCAAACGTATGTGAAAAATCTTGAAACTCATCTTCGTAAGATATATCAGAAAAAACAAGAGGCAACGATAGACAAGCTATGGTTTCCCCTCCCCATCTTCGCCGCCAAATTGTCAACACCCACCGGAAGATGAAAAGGAGACTGGCATCCCCGACTAGTTTCGGTCGCCGCCAGCTACTACCTCATCAGGGGATAGCTTTCGAGATGCTATTGACGTTCTGGAGGTCCTACTTATATTGGTCAATCCGGACTAGCCTGCAGCAAAACTCTCGGAGCCTAACCCGGTAGTCTACTTTCACTTTTTTCCTCTCTGAGTCGATCTCTCCCTTCAGCCTATTTTCCTGTCTACGTTCAATAAAACGTTACTTCTCGAAGGTCCGTTGTTTTTCACCTGACCCGATTTTCCAGCCTGGTCCCCCACCGACGGTTCGACATCATTCTTTCCCCCGGCCTGGTCCCACCGTTTAGTAACACGTTACTTCTCGAAGGTCCACTGTTTTTCACCCGACCCGATTTTCCAGCTTGGTCCCCCACCGAAGGTTCCACACCAGTCTTTCCCCCGGCCTGGTCCCATTGTTTAATAACAGGCTGCCATCAAAAGGAATCATCAACCCTCCTTTTTTTCAATTACCAACTACCCAGTCTCTGACCCCATTTTTCCCAGGACAGTGCTCTGTCCCTGATGAATTTAAACAGACACTCATTGAACATTTCCCTTAGGTACCTCTGCAGGCGAAGTTGTCGCTTCAGAGTCAACAAACCCAGTCCAACCAGTTCGTCCGACGTCGTCATCTGCATCATTCTACACATAGTACTCGTAATTACCGCCTTCTTTTGTCTGGTTGATGTATACGAGTCGAAATCCTGCAACGTTCGAAACGTGAGTTCCCCTTCGGCCCACACGTTCTCCAAATTTTTCGGATAAACTTGACTCGATACTTTATTTYTTTCCACTTTCACCTTTGTACCCAAAAAATCTCATACTCCTCTCCCTGCATTTGTCCTTTTCAGAACAAGTCGTTCATCGTATGTCCCTTCAAACAGACGCATCACTTTTTTCTTCCTTTCCTCCCCCTTCCTTATCGGGCTCCACACAAACAGGGTAACATCGTCGATGAGGCGTATTCCCTTCACCAAATTCCTATCCGCCCCCAGACTCTGTAGGAACATACACTCACTCATAGCATAAAGGATGCATGTCAGTGGGGGGCTACTGCTTTTTCCCATTGATATGCCTACTCTTTGTTGGATCAAACGTCCTAATGCTACGACAAAGGTGTGATTGAGCTCGAATCTGACCATCTTCCTGATATCCTCAAAACTTACTTCCATCCACCCATCCACTTCTCTCTTCTTTGCGAGAGATGAGCCCTTCCCCCTCCTTCTTAATGACACCATACTCTTCCATTTCCCTTTGTACCACTCCAGGATCCAATCGACTGCTTTCAAAATCGACTCGTCGGGCAGTTGAGTAAACATCTCTTTTATGTCAAATGCTTCCACAAAACTTAAATGTGCGTTATCATTTGAAATAAAACAAATTTAAATTTAGAGTTTCCACAGTCGTCTGCCTATTCCTGTTGTGTTTAACGAAAGAATGACCGGTTACACCGTCCATTATGACTCTCTCTGTCATATATGCCGGTAGTTAAACGTCTGTTTTCAAACATAATAACTTTTATTTTTCTTATTAACGGATGAGTCAGAATAAACTTCGGTAATGCTTTCACTTCATCAAGTTAAATCTCTTAACCAAAATTTTCGTCAGAAATCAGATAACGTTCGACATTGAAAGTACACAGCAGATACCCTTGTCAGGGTTTCTGCCCCAACAACGCAATTTCGTGGTCGGACGTTGCGTTCCCGATGTTGGTCATCACCGATTGCAAATATCTGCAACGTGTCACTTGACTATGCCAATGTGGGAAATCCATTCGATGACTTGCATGGTCACGGATGAAATGCACTGAGTAGTTTTTGACTCATATCTTTTTATTGTAGGAATGCTAGTTTTTTTAATTGTATGGTCATTCATGTTTTTCTATATTTTGATAAAAATATTGATATATTAACAAAGAATATATATCTTTATATATATTGCCTATATGTATAAAAAAAAATATATTTCAAATAGAATAGACATAATTTATTTCAATAGATTCCTAGGCTATCAGCTGGGCCGCTCGGGTCACCCTGTTTTCCCGGACAGTTCGAGCGTGCAAAAAGCAGGAAAGGTCCTAGCAAACAAACACAAAATTAAAAAAAATTATGTTATGTAGAAAAATAAATTGAATAACGTTTGCCTCAGGGTCAGGTCGAAAGTTTTTACCATTTTTTATTTTATTTTTTTAGTTTTTTTGCTCCGGCTGGGCAAATGCCCTCAGGCCACTCTGGTAACCTAGATAGATACTAAATAAATCTAATTATCAAATAAATAATATATTTTCGGACTAAGCTTATACATTTTCTAAAAAGTTATTTATTTTTTATGGTAATCTTTATGTTAAAAAAGTAGTGGTAGAATTATGCAAATAAAACGAATACGGCTCCCATATGAGTTTTCAAAAGTATTTTTATCATTTTGCGATGGTGAAAGGGCCGCTTAAAGTGGGATAGAAAACCGAAACACGTGTGGCATTGTCAGGTCCAGGTGTCTGGCTTGTTTAACGAGTTTGCAAGCGGATGACTTTTTGATTGGAGTCATCGGACCTAGAGCAGTAGCCGATAAAATACGATATAAACTTTGAACCAAAACTCATGTATTCAACAACAAAAAAATTCCCACGAGAAATCAAAGTTGAAAAAACATTTCATACAAAACAAATCCTTCACATTTATAAATTATTGTTCTCATATTCGTCCAATTATAAAATTTATAGTTTTATTTCATAAATTTTCGTCTAAAAATGAGTTTCCCCTTCTAACTACATTTATTTGTTTAAGATGGAACGAAAGTTTGGACGAGTTTATGAAATGTTTTAATTAAACTTTCATTCTATTACAACAAATATCTTCTAATTTATATTAGATTAACCTATTTATGACTGGAAATCCTTACTTAGAATGACAATCCAATTCAAATATTTTATGAACTTATCCAGACTTTCATTCCATCTCCAGCATGCAGTTCAAATAAGAAGGGATACCCCATACTTGGAATGAAAGTTTTCAAGTAAGACGGAAAATCTTAAAATTGGAATGACATTTTTTAAGATAGAATGGAAATTTAAAATTTAAAATGTAATTTTACTATAGAATGATTATTTAATTCTGGAATTTTTTTCTGTTGAAGATCGAGGGAAAAAATCTTGGTAAACATTTACGTGTAAAACCAGACAAAATTCTGCTTGGAGGCGATCATGCAAGTCACCGAATGAATTGCCCACTTAGGCCTAGTTAAGTGAGATGGTGCAGATGTCTGAAACAAGACGGGCACACCTTATTCCGATGAACAATCCGAGATAAATGGAGTCTCAAACTAACGAGTTTTCGAGTATAGAGTAATATATATTTATTTTTGAAAGAAAATTTTCTGCAAATTGTTATTTTTTAAATGCATGGCCTTGTTGAACGATGAGATCCTTTAAATCCTGGTCTGGAATCTGAAGACAAAACTTTCGACTGAAGTCTAAAAAAAATTACCCAAGTAATCCATTTTAACGTTTATATATATTTTACTCATATTTCAATAACGGGATTTATGGTACAACTTAGATTTATCAAAAGTATACATTTTCGGAACTATTATGTTTTTTTTGCAGCTTGTCCAATTATTCAAACGTGAAGTTTCGGCTCTTTGAGCCCTAAGGTTGCCACCGAGGAACAATCTGAGATAAACGGATTATCAAACTCAAGTAATCACCAAGGGTGTGAAAGTTTCACTCTAGTCTACAACGATGTTAAATTTCAATAACATTGAATCTCTAAGATTAAACTATTGAATCCAAAATTTTTAGAGCAGACTGACTTGATATTGCAATCAAAACAAAAACTCAGCGAATGATATAGTTTTTTTTTTTATTTAAATTTAAAATGACCCTGGTAGTCCATGTCGTAAATAATGAGTGTTGGTCCTTGGTCATTTTTTTCTTATATAATTTGCACTTATTGAATAGTTTGTTGTGACTTTCTTTCCCATACTTTTCCGCTCGTATTTAGAGAGTTGTCAATTTTTTTTTAAACGTGCAGGAGTCTACCGAGTATCACGACATAGGCAGGTCTTGGTTCCGGTTTCAATTATTGTCCATTTTGTAGGCAATGACCATTTCACATCCTACAACGTTTATAGGTCAATGGGTGACATGCATAAAGCGCTACCACGACACGACTTTCTTCATTCCAACCGGAATACAGAAATTTGAGATCGACATGTTGAAGGTTACCAAAAAATTGGTTTCTTTTAGGTGGTCAGAAAGAGTCATGACCGATAAAATGTGCAAGATTAACTAAATATATGATACTTCTTATAAACAACATAGTTGAAGCGGAGTGTTTTTGCTTTGGATGGATGTCTGAGTGGTTGAAGGTTCATAAGGGGTCGCGGGTGCTTCATAAGTAAATTAGAGAGGCAACCAACAAAGTGTTGCATAAAATTGATTACTTTACATTTAACTAGTACTAAAAAAAATGCTTATAGTAAATATTGTATTATTATTCAAAGTATTTTTCCTAAAATGTCATTAGTTAAATGAAAATTGTTTTGTGTATTTTGACGACGGAATCATAATTCGCATGTGAGGGTTTAATTTTTTTTTCGGCTTATCATTTATTTTTTTCTTGAGTTGCCAACCGTTAAATCTCGACAGCATCTGCTATAGATCGTTCCATAACAAATTTAGGCAATA